AAAGTAAAAAGGATTAGATAATATCTCTATATATCATGATAAAATAGTTTAAATTGAAATATAATCTCCAACATTAGTTATAGGTTTAAATTATGCCAATCACAAATATAAATAGTTACGTATAAAATGATATTTGTAATTAAAGATTAAAAATAATCATTATAAAATAAAAATAAAGTTACTTAAGTAGAAGAATTATCTTATTAAATAGTTAAAGTTTATGAGAAGTCTCGTTAAAATTGCCAATTTTTAGAGAGAGTAGATAACTCAATAGTAACAATTTCCACTCACCAATTGTTGGTCCTTCCCTAAGCCAAACAGCCCTCAATCTCACATCCCCAATCTCACATCCTCTTGTAGCATATGATATTACCCACAATCTCTGCCTTCAATCCACTAGTTGCCTTTGAATCCAATATCCTTTGCCACCACTAACTACCATCCCTCGGTTGTGCTATAGAAAAATAATTAAAGAATAACTTTTTTATATAGCTTTATATTTTATTTAATGCTTGATTTTTTTCACTTTACTGGAATGAGTGATATTATATTTATTTATTCATTTAATATGATGTTGATATTTGATACCATCAACCATGTGGTCTAGTGTCTTAGTGTCTTAGTCACATATTTAGAATTTAATCTTTAGTCTTTACATATAAAAAAAATATTGATTCTTTTCATTTATATGATTGGATTGGTGAAAAAAGGTACAGATAATGTATGAACTTTGTTATTTTTTTACTTAAGAATATTATTTTTTGAGTTTTTAAATTAGACAATAAATTTTCACTGTTTGACCTATTTAAAGATACAAATTTTACTATATTTTGATTAAGATTGTTCTTTGTCAAGACTTTAAATTAGATGCAAATTTTGTATTGAAACTTACATGTTTAATTTTTAAATGGTATCAAACCTCAAACTTTGTTTTTGGGAAGCTTGAGATTCTGTGACAATTTGGGTTTGCATGAGGGAGGGCATTTCAAATTTGTTTGTTAACCTAAGATCCATATGACAGATCAGACCTGCATATGACGACAGCCTCTTAAGTTCATAGCTTGAGATGCATGTGATAGAACTTGAAATTAATATTGAGTCTGCATGTAAAAAAGGTGTGTTAAATGAAAAAATTTTACATTATTAAAATAATAAAGAAACATATGTATTAAATATAAAAAATGTTATTCCATCTATTGCAAAATGATTTTAAGTATAAATATTAAGACAGGAGCAAATGAACGAAGTACTCCATAACCTAACTGCAGCACAGAAGCAAAAGACAAGAAAGAAAGCAGCACATATTTGGGTTTGACGTGTTGCATTGATAACTCATTGGCTGCTATGAAAAACATATGGGCCTATACATATTTGGGCTTTTATTTTTTCGGCCTTCTATGTGGGCTTTAATGTTGACTTTGTTAGGCTTTACAAATAAAGTAACTATTTTTTCAAAACTCTTAAAATGGCACACATGCACATAGCAAATTTAAGTTGTAGGCATGTCACTTTATTGTAATGCAAAATATGATTAGAAGAATATTGGTTTATGCTTGAGTTCTACACCTTCAAATAACTTTTAAGAGAGAGAGAGAGATGCCTTCTTGTTGAATTAGTTATTGATTTGCCTTGGATAATTTTAAAAACTCTAAAATACCACCGTAAATTAAAAGTTTAATGATTCACAATAAAATGAATGAAACATAAACAAAGCAAGCTTTCATCTACATATTAAAGTAACTAACTACTAACAAATTGAACTAAATCATTGTAGAATTGGAAAATTATTAGGGCTTAAAACTAGAATAAAACTAGGTAATTATGTTGTTTAGGCAAATAAGATTGCAATTAACATAAACATGAAAGAGAAACATGAAAGTCATATATAAGTTGATATTTTAAAAAATGACACTCATCTCAAAATTACTAAATAAATAAAGAGATTGTTGCATAAGTTAGAATCAACTTAAATTTGATTGGAAATTGTACTAAAACTAAAAAAGAAAAGTATATAAAAAATTAATTAAAATAAAATATTGTGTGAAAATTAAACAAACGAAGCGTTCAATCACTTGATGCCTGAAGAATTGCTTCTAGATCTTCTCTCTTCTGTTTTATTTCTTGTGCCATTCGTCTACAAGGCATCAAAACTAAAAGAAAATATATGGTAATTGTAAGGGTATAAATACAAAAGGCAGAGCTTAGTGCTCTGTCGCATCTCGGTTCTCTACCACAAGTGCATGATAGTTACAATGAGAACACTCTTACCCAATCATTTGTTCTTACTTGATCCTCCCTTTCCAAGTGACCTGCTCCGCTAAAACATGCCACGCGCATTTAATGTGGTTACTCCATTAAGATATGTTATGTACATCTAAGACGTTTACTCCGTTAGGCACATCATATTATGATTATTATGTTAAGTAAGTCACGTGGGTACGGATAGGCCACGTGAATACCTTGCCGAGATGTACAAAACCCATACGGAAAGGTACGTTATATACACGGAATAATCATAAAAGAGAACACTCTCCAGAAAAATACTAACTTAAGCATCGAAGTTTCTCCCCAAGAACCAATCTCGGGATTTTGCAGGTCTATCCATAGAGAAGATACACATAAGGAAGATCTTGAAGGTTTTCTACAATAATAGTAATTATTTTTTTTCAATCCTTAGCTCTTTACCTCTCATACATGAGGTAAATCTATTCAAGCAACAATAAGATTGTAAAGAATTTCATTCCAAGTGTCAGGAACTCCTGGAACACACCAATGGATGCAATCCACACCCTCACCTGCCGCCCCCTTGTCGTTGAACTTTGAAGGATGCCCGTCTTTGCGGAACAGCGATAGGTTTGTTGTGTCAAAGAATTTTACAAGATCGGTTACTGCCTCTATCGACGTCTTTTGCACAGCCAATCCTGGTGGTATACCTCCAGGATATGTCGTTCCCAGCACCGGCTCTGTCTGCCCTAGACATCTATCAGCTTTTGTCTCGTTCCACTTCTTGCCACTGTAATGTCCAAATCTAATTTTTTTATAAAACAAAAGAATTATAGTTATAATTTAAGTAAAAAATTTTGAATTCAAATAGTATAGTATGTGAATGTGAGTGAGAGGTAGTTGTTTTTTATTGTGATATTCGAAATAAAAAAGTAAAACCCAGAATCATAAAAAGATAAGTATGGTTTTTTTTTTTTTTTTAAGTATAGAAAGAAAAGGATTTGATCAAAAGTGATAGTCCACAACATTTAGGGTATGTTTGGTCCAACTTTCTAACTGTTTCAGTTTTTTGATATT